GGGGATTCTGTTACGGTAGACCGAGCCTATCGTTCTTGCTTGGGCACTATCGAGGACTATGAGACTATGGTTAATCTTCTATTACTCAATATGGTGTATTTTGATATGATTTTGGGCATGGATTGGTTGTCACCATATCACGATATTCTTGATTGTTACGATAAGGTCGTGACATTGGCTATGCCAGAGTTGCCGATGTTGGATCAAGAGGTTCTTTGAGTCATGTTGCTAGTAGGGTAGTGTCTTTTTTAAGGCGCAACAGATGGTGAAAAAGGGGTGTTAGGCATACTTAGCCTTTGTGAGGGATGTTAGTGCGGATACTCCTTCCGTTGAGTCAGTTTCGGTAGTGAGAGAGTTTCCGGATGTGTTTCTAGTGGACCTGCAGGGCATGCCACCCGATAGGAATATTGATATCAGTATTGACTTGGTGCCTACAACTAATCTCATCTCTATTCCATCATATCGCATGACACGAGCGGAGTTGAAGGAACAACTTCGGGAGTTGCTTAATAAGGGTTTTATCAAATCGAGTGTTTCACCTTGGGGTGCTCCAGTCTATTTATGAAGAAGAATGATGGTTCTATGAGTATGTGAATTAACTACTAGCAGTTGAACAAGGGGTTACTATCAAGAACAAGTACCCACTACCGCATATTGAAGATTTGTTCGATCATCTTTAGGGTGCTAGTGTATTTTCGAAGATTGGTTTGAGATAAGGGTACCATCAGTTGAAGATCCAGCCTTCAGATATTATGAAGATGGCTTTTAGGACCCATTATGGTCACTATGAGTTTTTGATGATGTCTTGATGCACTAGGAATTGAGGAAGTACTATTGGTGGCGGAGGATGAAGAAGGATATTGTTGAGTATGTTTCTCGGTGTTTGAACTGTCAGCATGTGAAGTACGAGCATCATAGACCGGGAGGTTTGCTTCAGAATCTAGATATTCCAGAGTGGAAGTGGGAGTATATCACTATGGATTTTTTAGTTGGGCTTCCACGGACCTTAAGGAGATTTGATACAGTGTGGGTTATTGTGGACAGACTTACTAAGTCTGCACACTTTCTTCTAGTCATGACTACCTACTCTTCAGAACAGCTAGCTCGAATTTACATTTAGGAGATTGTTCACCTTTATGTTGTTCCCATGTCTATTATCTCGAATCGAGGCACTGAGTTGACATCACATTTTTGGAGATCCGTGCAGCGTGAGTTGGGAACACAGGTCGAGTTGCGTATGGCATTTCATTCCAAAATAGACGGATAGTTCGAGTGAACTATTCAGATATTGCAGGACATGTTGCGTTTCATTGAGTTTGGGGGATCATGGGATTAGTTACTACCGCTAGCAGAGTTCTCCTACAACAATAATAGCTATCCGTTGAGTATCCAGATGGCTCCGTATGAAGCCTTATATGGTAGGTTATGTCTTTATCCGGTTGGTTGGTTTGAGTCTGGAGAGGCTAGGTTGATGGGCACTGATTTGGTCCGTGATGCTTTTGAGAAGGTGAAGTAGATTTTGGAGTGGCTTGGTACAGCGCGGTCCAGGAAGAAAAGTTATGCTGATATGAAGGCGCGTAATGTTGCATATATGGTGGGTGAGAAGGTACTACGCATATTTTTGCCCATGAAAGGTGTGATGAGGTTCGTGAAGAAGGGAAAGTTGAGCCCTAGGTATATTTGTCCTTTTGAGGTTCTTGAGAGAGTGGGAGAGGTGGCCTAGGTACATTTGTATGAAGATTTGACTTATAATGCGGAGCCGGTGTCTGTTTTGGACAGGCATGTTCGAAAGATGAGATTGAAGAATATAGCATCGGTAAAGGTTCACTGGAGAGGTCATCTTGTTAGGAGGCTACTTGGGAGACCGAGCAGGAGATACGGAGTAGATACCCTTACTTTTTGAGACTCTGTGTAGGATTCTAGACTCATTCGAGGACGAATATTTATTTAAGAGGGGGAGAATGTAATGACCCGATCAGTCATTTTGAGCATTTTAGCCCCATTTCCCCTACTTGATACTTTATATATGTGTATTTCTGGTTACGTAACTTTCCGAGGTAGTTTTGTTGACTTCGGGGAAGTTTTGGAGTGAATTAATATACTTAGTCCCAAGGTTGGATGCTTAAGTTGTAAGAGTTGACCAGAGTTTGACTTTTGCATAGACGACTCCCGAATGATATTTTGATGGTTCAGATAGCTTCGTATGGTGATTTTGGACTTAGGCGTATGTACTGATTTGAATTTGGAGGTTCCTAGGTTGTTTTGGCTTAAATTGGTGAAAGTTGGGAGGTTGAAGGTTTAGAAAGTTGATAAATTTGACCGGGAGTTGACTTTGTTAATATCGGATTCTAATTTTGGTTTTGGGAGCTGTAATAGGTCTGTTATGTCATTTAGTACTTGCATGCAAATTTTGAGGTTATTCCGTGTTGATTTAATATAGTTTGGCATGAATTTTGGAAGTTTGAAGTTCATTAGTTTCCTTAGGCTTGAATTGAGCTGCGATTCATAGTTTTAATGTTGTTTTGTGCGATTTGAGGCCTCGAGTAGATTTGTGTTATGTTTGGGATTGGTTGGTGGATTCGACGGGGTCTTGGTGGCTCCGGGTGTGTTTCGGATTGTTTTGATCATTTCGGACTTAGTTGCATAGCTAAAGGTTTCTGATACTGGTGCTTTCGCACCTGCTAAGGAACGGCCGGCGATGCGGGTACACAAACGCGGACATGGAGCCGCATAAGCAAATCTGGGCTGGTTGGCCTAAGTCCTCAGGTGCGGACAATTGAGCGTAGGTGCACAGGCGCAGGTGCACATGTTCTGCCACAAAAGCATAGCCCATATGTGGCTTTTTGTCCGTAGAAGTGGCTGGATGGCTTGTTAAGTGGACCTCGTAGATGCGATGAATGGACTGCAGAAGCGCCATCGTAGGTGCGACACTTTGATCCGCAGATGCGGAATCACTGGCATAATACTTATATCGAAGGGTTTGGTCTTATTCTTATTTTTGGAGTTGTGGAACTCGGTTGGAGGCGATATTTGAAGGGCTTTTCATCACAATTGAAGGGGTAAGTGATGCTCACTTGATTTTGGTGTTAGATATTGTCTACCCATAAATTATTACATCTAATTTATATGAATTTAAGGTGAGATTTAGGGGGGGTTTCGGACTATAACTTTGGAGAGTGAGATTTGTTGATTTGAAGGGATTTGAGGTTGGAATTGGATGAAAAATATATATATTTGGGCTCGTATCGGAGTGTGTATTCGAAATTTGTGAGTTTCGTCAGGTTCGGGGCGTGGGCCGAGGTTTACTTTTTTAGTTGACTTTTTGATTTTCGTTCAAGAGCTTTATTGTTTGGGATTATTTTCTATAGCTTCTATTAATATTATTAAGTTATTTTGCTTAGATTTGAGCCGTCCGGAGGGTGATTCATGTGGGAAGGGCTTCTTAGAGTACTTATTTGACTTATTTGAGGTAAGTATCTTGACTAAATTTGTATGGGGAAAAACTCCTTAGGTGCTAGACCTAATCTGTTGATTTCTATGATAAAAAAAGTGACATGTACATGAGGTGACGAGCGTGTACACGAGTACTATATATGATTTTGACCAGATAGACCGTAGGCTATTAATATGCCTTAATGTTATAATTAATTTTATATGAAACATTTTGAGACCAAGTAATGACTATTGATCTTGATCATTACATTGATTTAGCCTTAGTCATATTTTATTTGGTACACACCCCTATGCTTTTATGAATAGTATATGTCCTAGTGCACTATTGTTGAAAGTTGTGAACTTATATCATGAAATTATTTTTATCGAAATTTAATAGCATACAAATTTAATTTAAATCCATACTCGCTTTATTTCCGCTTGTCTGATATAATTTTCTTATTAGTTCATTTTTGAAGAAAGAGTTATTTATATTTTAAAAACTATTAACTTTAAACTTTTCGTTATTGCCTCACAAATATTATGATGTATTTAGTACCATAAGTTTCAAAAAATTTATAGTCACACATATGTTATGATATGCTTAAGATTACCAGTTTTAATAATCTTATAGCCGCTTAAATACTAGTATTGCATATTCCCTTCGGGGCCTACCCGATGCCAATCGAAGCTGTTGTCCTCGGTCTTGGTTTCCACTTTCGGTCTGCTCCCGATTTCACGTAACATTCTGTCACTCGAGTATTTAATATGAACCGATTTTACTCTATACAAATGTCTACCAATCTTCTAGCTTGATCTAGGCTCTTTCAAAGCACTCTAAAGACCAGATGTTGACGTGGAAGCCCGGCTTACATGTATGCTACCGTAAGTTATCAGGAGTTATTTGGTCTTTAAATATTTACTCTCCTTTATTTTGTAAAAATTAAAAAGGAAAAACTATGGCTACCAAGCTCTCTCAGCCCCCTTTCTTTAGGAAGAAGATGTCTGAATATGAACAGATATTATATGAAAAATATAATATTGGATAGTTTCTAAATTTTTTTTATTGAAATTTAATAGCATACAAATTTAATTTAAATTCAATCTCGCTTTATTTCAGCTTGTCTGAAATAATTTTCTTATAACTTCATTTTTGAAGAAAGAGTTAGTTATATTTTAAAAATTATTAACTTTAAACTTTTCGTTATAGTCACAAAAATATTATGATGTATTTAGTATCATAAGTTCAAAAAGTTTATAGCCACACATATATTATGATATGCTTAAGATTACCAGTTTTAAAAGTCTTATAGCCGCTTAAATACTAGTATTGCATATTTAAGAGAATTTGTGAAGTTCTCATTTTTTTTAATCTAAATTGTATGTTTAATCACGTTATGTCACATAAATTAGAATGAATAAAAAAAAATTATAAAAAAAGAATCTCTTATATATATATATATATATATATATATATATATATAATGCCAAATAAGACAGTATTTTTCAGGTGAAGTGTGACTAGAAATTAGCATTAAGCCAAAATCAATAAAGAGAGACAGACAAACAGTAATTGTACCTGTCAAGTACTCCGGCCTGTACCTCCCACCTCTCCCTTTTTCTTTACATTCCTCATTTCTTTATATACTTAATAGCGATCTCTCTGTTTCTCCCACATTCTTAACTCCCTTTGCTCTCTTCTAAATTCTCGGCACTTCCTTCTACTCTTCTTTTGCAATGAAGAAGCTCATTCGTAGGTTTTCGCGCGTAGCAGACTCCTCAGAGTATTCCCTACTTCTTGCCGAGTCCACGTCATCATCTCGTCGCCGACGTTTTCAATCGTTCAGAAACGGTAAGCCCGGATCCGACGAAGTCCCTGAGGGATACGTTCCTGTGTACGTAGGCGAAGAAATGGAGAGGTTTATTGTCAGCGCTGAGCTCCTTAACCACCCGATTTTCGTCAATCTCCTTGATAAATCTGCACAAGAATATGGTTATGAGCAGAAAGGCGTTCTTCGTATCCCCTGCCACGTCATCGTCTTTGAACGCGCCCTCCAGGCTCTTAGCTGTTGAGCAGTCGGACTAGTTTGTTAGGTAGAGGCGTGTAGCAGATATTTGCCGTCCTATTAGTTGGAGATCGTTTTTTTTTTTTTTCCTTTTTATAAATCGTGTAAGTACATTCGATAATGAAAAAAGTGCAGAAAGCTACGAAAAACTTAGGTCTGATGTTCAAATCTAGGGGAGAGTACTTGATTTCCTTTCATCTGCTTGAGTTTTGGTGGTCAAAGTTAAAAGTTGTTAAATTATTGGAATATACATGTATACATATTACAGAGTATATATTTATTCACTGTTTAAATATATAGAATCACTTTTCTGTCACTGTCTAAATTAGTACTCAGATGTTGTGGAACCCGTAGAATTCATGCTGGCGTAGAGAACAAAATTTTAAAGAATCAAGCTAAATCTTAAATTCAAAATATTACAAGACTTTTAAAATCCTAAGAGTCTATCATAATTTCTTGGAAGTTATTCTACCCTAAATCCTAATGCACACCTATGTAAAGGGATACATATTCTTTTGAAGTGCCGTCTCAAAATTCCCATAAACTCTTTGGATATTCACAATCCCACATTCAAGACATATGTTGCTTCAGCCCTCGAATTATGGAGAACTAGAGAGAAAAATCAAGGGAACAAACAGAATTGTACCCGCATGATAAACAGCGTTGTAACCTACAATTTTTATAAATAAATTGTTTTTTTCTTTATAGTTGTTTGTGATTGCAGTTTTATTTTTCTCTGCATAAATTTGTTGCAAACAAATTGGCACGCTCAGTGGGACCAGTTTTGCCCTTCATCTCTTCCTGCTCCAAATCTCATTTCATCAATTCCATAAACTCTTGAGATATTCGAGATCAAAATATGGGAAGATACTTCTTGACAATCAAATAGTTCAAGAAGCCGGAGGTCAAATGCATCCTCAGGAGGTCTGTATCATCCTACATTTAAGAAATATGCTGCTTCAGCCCTCGAATCACGGAGATAATCGGGAAAGAAGAATCAAGGGAGAAACAGGATTATACTTACAATTGATTAGTATAAAATATTTTTCTCTTATTTTGTGATTGCAGTTTATTTTTCATAACTTGAAAATTTATTGCAAACAGCTGGTTTTGCAACACCAATACACATTGCGATTGACAAATATTACTAGTACTGTATTAGAGTAGTAGTTGTAGTTATGGGTGTTTCACGGGTGGGCCGGGCCGGGCTGGGTAGAGAATTTTTGTACCCGTACGGGTTATGGTCCGGGCCGGTTACGGGTTGGGGCTTACCGGGTTTAACGGGTTCGGGTTTATACCGGGTAAAATTGAACCGTAAAGGTTACGGGTTGGAGGGGCCGGGCCGGGTCGGGTTAGTGTTTTTTTTTTTTTTTTTTTGTATTTTGTATAACTATTGTAAGTTATATTAATACAAAGTATTAATATAAAGAATACAAGGAAGATGGGGAAAAATTGCACTTATAAATTGCAAGTGCTACATTTATTCCAAAATTCAAACTTACAAATTGAAAGGTTTACACTTTACATTTAACAACAAGTAAATTAACCAAAAAAGAGTAAATTCAAAGGTTTTGCATTGCCTTAGTAAGTTCTTCATAATCAATATGAACCGAGTGACCTTCTTCTGGAATGTTAAATTCGGATGGGTTACCATGTGTTAATATATCTCCAAGTTCCTCGTCTTCTGGGCAATCAACATCTTCACGTCCTTGATTTCTTCGTTCCGATCTAATCCAATCTCTGAAACATACTAAAACTTCCAAAGCATTGCTTCCCAATGAGTGACGGGTGTCTCCAAGTTGTTGTCTTGCTTGGCTAAATGCACTCCCTGATGCATTCATTAATTGGTAACAATCAGACATCTTAATAGAGGGATTTAAAACAGCACCAATTAAGTAAATCGGAGGAATTGGAAAGAAATATTTTTTCAATTTTGCTTGCATTTTTTCAACAACATCCGTATATTTTTTTTTCTTCTTAAATTCAAAGAGTAGAAAAGAAATTTCAGCTATATGTACTAAAGCCATAGTAACATTAGGGTAATATGCTCCAGAAAACTCAACAGTAGTTGTATAAAATTTATGTAAAAATTTAACAACATCATTAATGACCTCCCAAGTAGTAGTTGTTAACATACGGTTTGGATCAGTACAATGCGCATTAGCAATTTCAGTTATTGGGAATCTATATTTGTAGCAACATTTTAAAAATATATATGTATAATTCCATCTAGTAACAATTTCGTATGGCATGAATCTGGGTTTAAGGTTATACTGGACACACTTATTCTTAAATTCCTTTATTCTAGATTGTCTATTATTTCCTTGAATAACACCAACTGCTCTTCTAACATGAGTAATCTCAGTTGAAAATAAATCAAGGCCACTTTTAACAATTAAATTATAAACATGACATGTACACCTAACATGAAAAATTTCATCAAGAGGTGGTTGCAAATGCAGTTTTAATATTGAAATTGCGGCATTATTGTTAGAAGCATTATCAAAAGACATACACAATACTTTTTGCTTGAGATTATAAAATTCAACAACTTCACAAATAGTACTACTTATAAACGCAATAGTATGACTGATCTTCATCATATTTAAAAGCGATAATACGTTTTTGCATACAAGTAGTATCATCTATCCAATGATATGTAATTGTCAAATAATCATTTCCATTAATAGCATGGCTAATATCAGAAGTTAGAGAAACTCTACAAGGAAGGTGGCTAAACAAATAACGTATGTATGTTTTGATATTGTCCATGAAGTCTAAAGATATCAGATGTACAAGTACTTCTAGGGATACCTTTAAATAAAGGATTGTAAATCCTTTGAGTATACATAATAAGATATGATGATGAAGCAAAAGAAAAAGGTAGACAACCCAAAGCAATCATTTTTGCTAACTCCTCACGATCCTTCATTTTATCATATTTCACAAGACCTCCAGTAGTAGGGTTTAGAGTTGATTGATTTCCATCTCCATCAGATCCCCATTCTATAGGATGCTCAATTCTCATATGTCTACTAAGTGTCCTAGTCCCCCCTAATTGTCCTCCAGTCTTATGTTTAAAAGTATCATTACAAAGTTTGCATTTAACTCTATCAGTACCTTGTATTTCCTCAAAAAATTTCCAAACCTTACTTCTTTTTCTACGATTACTTGTCGGGGCCACAGGTGGTCTACTACTAGCACCACGACCACCACCCTTGCTAGCAGCTCCAACACTACTAGGTGTAAGTGGTATCTCATCTTCCACTTCTAATTCATTATCATCTATACCAAAATCTTCCTGCAATTGTTCATAATCTATATTATTATCAGGTAATGTTTCAGGAATATTTGGAGAGGTATTTAAATTACTACCGGATGCTGAAGCCGAAGTACTACCTCTTTTTTTATTTCCTCGATTAGTAACCTTGTTACAAACTCTTTTTGCAGCATTAAACATATTGTAAAAGTTTAACTACTAGCAATAAATAAATATACAAATAAAATAGTAAATAAGAGAAAGAGTTGGAGGGAGTACACCGAATTCGGCAATAAATTGAGCACTTGATGATTTCGCAACTCCAATGTTACCACGAAGAAACGTCAATTGTTCCAATTTTGAAGTTCAATTGTTCAAACTTCAAATAATAAATACTACTACAAATTAAAATCCAAAAAAAAAAAAAAGAGCCAAATAGTTGATTGCACTTTAATAGGTAAAGAATGAAGATTGAAGAATGAGAGAATATGAAAATTGAGAGATGAGTGAAGAAATGAGGAAGAGGGGGGGGGGGGTTTATAGTTTTTCAAAGGGGGTTAATTTAAAAAAAAAAACCAAAATTGGGCTAATTGTGCAATTCTGCCGTTGGGCAACGACCATTTTTTGAAATGGACCATTGCCAACGGTCAGATCTGGGCCCAGTTTAAAAAAAAAAATTAATTTTTTTTACCTTAAACCGGTCTGGGCCGGTTAACCGGTTTAACAACACTGTTCATCCACCGGTTATACCGGTCCGGGTAACCAGTTTTCAAATGTAAACGGTGCAACCCGACCCAGCCCTCTTCTACCGGTCCGGTTCCGGTTTGGGCCGGTCTGGAACAGGGCTGACCCGGCCCGTTTAACACCCTTAGTTGTAGTAGTATATTTTATTTTGTGGCCCCATTTTGCTATTTCTGTTAGAAAAGGAGTTGTTTCGCAATTAATCCAGATACAAGCCCAAACCGCTTTGTGCATGTGATTCTTCTCGGAAGCAGAAAGTGAAAAATATATCTTTAGACCATGATATTTTCAAATCACAGTAAGTTTATGCTTGAGTTCGCGTGATTTGCGGCGGGCTCAATCACTCTCCTTATATAATGCCGTATATTAATCTTGAAGAGATACCATGTCATTTCATGTTTATGGCTTCAGAACTAGAAGCGAGTAGAATCAGTAGCGTACGCAGGATATTATATAAGCGGTGTCACAATTTTAAAAAGTAAATACATAATAACTCACTGTAACAACATCATAACTAATAAAACACCTCAAACATTGTAAGTGAAAATTTATTTTTTAAAATGTACTCAACAACCTCATTAGAAATAATACTACTCCCTCTTGGTCCACTTTAAGTAATTTTTGGCATTTTTTTGTGGTACACAATATTTCACTTTTTCAAATATTAAGAAAGAATTAACTTCTTCTTTTCAAAGTTGTCCTTAGATTAAAGAGCCTAGAGTCGTTTGTTATATTTCTAATGAGCAACTTAAGGTTAATATGGTCAATTTTATTATTAATTATTACCAAAAGGTGAATTATTTAGTATGCGTAAAAAAAGCAAAAAAATCACTTAAAATAGACCGAAGGGAGTAAATATTTTCTTTAATATAAAATACTAGACAATCACATAAAAACTCATCATTCATTCGATTTTGCAAATCGTTCTTAATCAATTTCAACATTGAAAAAGAAGATGAATGAAAAAAAAAAGAAGATCCATCATTTTAGTCTTATGTTAATAAGAGGCCACTTGTTATGCGGCTCAAAAAATGTTGAAACGAAAAGCGAAGTTACCAACCTTCGTACTTTCGACCTACCCTTGGTAAATGACACGCTTTATCGAATGAGCTAGACTGCAATTCTTGTCATGTGCTGTCACTTTATTAAATATAACATCT